GCTATAGGTCTCGATAGCCGGGCACCATCAGCCTTCTTCACCACACTTACTTATGCACACATTCGTCTTCAGCGTTTATGTGTGGAAGGTGGTCACACATAGACTCTCTTCTTTTAAACAGCACCACATCTTTTATAGGCCACTCCAGAAGGCTTGGATGTGGAGATCCCTAAGTCAGCACAGTTCTCAACCTGTGGGTTGCGACCCTTTGGGGGTTGAATGACCCTTTTACAGGTGTCACCTGATTCATAACAGTAACAAAATTACAGTTATGAGTTAGCAACAAAAATAATTTTATGGTTAGGGGTCACTACGACATGAGGAACTGTATTAGAGGGTCACGGCATTAGAAAGGTTCAGAATCCCTGCCGTAAGTGAACTGGGCTTTACCTTAAACTCACCTGCAGTATATTTAAGGAACTGACATATTCCCTTCGACTTAAGGCTGAAACACTCCAGAGTGAGAGGAAGTAAATGACTCCTATCTCATGGTTGTAGAATTGGTGGTCATTGGACTGGTTTGGATCTTTTGTTTGGAGGATATCCAATGAATAGTGGCCTGTGACTATACATTTACTGTTTTATTCCCACCCCACCCCCATTGCTTTTTTATGACATGTATTACTCTGGTTCTGCCTTTGTGAATGAGTCTTAGTGAAAATCTTGCCATATCAACCACACCCACATTTTTGGTATAAATAGTGCTTATTCACTTAAGGCTTTATTCTGTACAAGTCAACAGTTTATATATTGCTGTCTGAAGCCAGTCTATATTTGTATAATTTCCTTTTCTCAATAGCATTTAAAATTCTATACTATTGGCTAAATCAATGACACCGTCAATAGAATTACCTTATGTTTAGGGGTGGGGGAGGTGATTTATAATATTCTCTATCATAAAATGATAATGGTGTCTTTAATGTGAACCAGAGACATCTATAAACCATAGATATATGAATGGACTTTGTACTCACACTTAATTCTAACCAGAATCTAAGAACAATTAGTTCTTATGGCATGCCCCACTTGATACTCGCTCTCATGAAGAGATCGCTGTAGTTGTAGATGCCACAGCAAAGTATGGTGAAGAAACCAGATGGTGCCTGATTTTCAGAAAGAATACTACTGCAGTCTTAAAGGCTTGTCTTCAAACAAGCAGCCAGTTAAGCAAGGCATCTACTAACTCTACATGGAAGAAGTACAGCAGCTTGTGTGATCTAAGGATTGTAAATAATAAAATCCCAATCCGGAGGGAACCATATCAGAGCATAAATTATGAACACCCGGTTTGCCCAAGACTGTGGATGACAGTGGAAGCTCAAAATCCATTGGCAGAGTCCACACATGGATTAAGCCTCCAGGGAATCTTCTCTGACCATAGAGCAGAGATGTAAATAGCCTTGCTATCAAACAGAGAGCATTGCGATGTCAACTGTAGCAGATGTAGTTAGGAGAAAATTTAACACCTTATCACTTGATAACTCTCTTCTGACCCATTTTAAATTTGTTCTACTTTTGAATGTTTTCTACTTTCTTTTA